TCCCACCCACGTGTGTGGTAATAGACAAATCACTTTTCTGTTAACACACTGGCCCCTCCCACCCACGTGTGTGGTTATAGAAAATCACTTTTCTATTACCTGGCAATACCAAGTCCTTGGCAGAGCCCCAGGACTTATGGTTCCCACGGTGCCCTAGAGGCAACACGGAAGTTCTAGAAGACTAGGAAAGGTTGATAAGCAGAGCGGCTTCCAGACCTCCATGAAATCAGACTTTCTGAATAGTACATAGATTAAAGAAACGAAACACAAAATTTCAAGCAAATGAGGTTTTACATTACACCATCAGCATATTGTGAGATTTAAATTGTCATGTTTTAAATAAATTGGCAAGACTTCACGCAAAACTTGGTTGAGGGGCTGGAGAAAAGGGCCCACTGTTGTCCAGAGTTCTTCTCAGTCCAGAGCACACAGCCGGCGGCCCGCAACCTCCCATGGCTCCGGCTTCAGGCGATCAGACAGCCACACGCACTTGCCACACACCCAAGAGACACACACATAGACAGAAACAAGAAGTAAAAATAAATCTTTTCAAAATTGGTTGAGAATTTAATATTGTTTTCCCCTGCATTTTTACTATATTGCTATATATTACATATTCATAACCAATGTTTCTTAGCACATTTTTAAAGAAAGAATAATATAAAAGTTATTGTCACCAGCATATATTGCTCTACAATAATGCTACCAGTAATATTATGTAACATGTATAACTTGACTATTATGTATTGACGTCTGTACCCCTTATCTGTTCCCTTGACCACACACTGGCCTTCCATTGCTTAGATCTCTAGTCCAGGAAATTCAGCTCCTTCTCAGTGTCTTAACATGACCATAATCGGTGTTCTCACCTTGTTCTTCGTGTGGATAGAGTTTCTCTATGGAAATAGTCCTTAAATTTTTATCATTTTTAGTAAAAAAAAATATTGTGAACCTATATCCACTATATATGAATATAGTACCTGGGGGGCGGCTCAGCAGTTAAGACTAGGTACCACTCTTGCAGAAGCTCCCAGTTTGGTGACTCGAACCCAAGTCCAGCAATTTACACCTGCCTGTAACTCCAGTTCCAAGGCATCTGATGCCCTTTTCTGGTCTCTGAGGGCACCTGCATCACACACACATACATACACACACACACACACACACACACACACACATTAAATGTTGAAATGGCATCTTTTAAAAAACTTTTTTGGCCAGGTGGTGGTGGTGCACACCTTGATTTCCAGCACTCAGGAGGCAGAGGCAGGCAGATCTCTATGAGTTCCAAGGCTGTTACACAGAGAAACTGTATCTCAAAAAATTATTTGTTTGTATGTATATATATGTGTGTGTCTATGTATGTATATATGTATATATTATTTATATATACAAATAACTATATAACCATAAATATTATATGTATATATATTTCTATTAGATAAATAAATGCCATGAAGCTGGTGAAGCTGGGTCATATATTTTAGAGATACAGTGGTTAAGTTGTTCTTTATAGTACTTAGATGACCATCATTACTTCTTGTTCTATGTACTGAACAATCTGCTATAGTCTGTCACCTACCTATTTGGTGGACAAAACAAATGACTAACCTCCCTTGGGGAAGCACCATGCTCATCCCTGGGGAAGTATAAGAATCTCAGGGTCTTCTGTAGCATAGAGTCTCTAGCCTATGTTATGGTTACATCTGTAACCGTCTGTTCTCGCTGAAACATTCTGTACAGACCTAGGAAGGCAAGTTGCTCACCTGCTTCCTCCTGAGGTTTAAGCAAGAGACCATGGCAAGGCTGGAAGCCTTGGGACTTAGGACTGAGGTCTTTGGGTGTCCCATTCCTCACTGCATCCCAGCAGGTGCTGGCCAGTGTCACTCTGGTCCCCCTTCTGATGGCTGTCACTTAGGACAGCCTCTTCTTACTGGGCTAGCTTATTTCTTTTGCCCAGATCCTGCATCCCATCCCTGCCCCCATGCTCTCAGATGTAACTAAAATGGCATGTTCTCCTGCCCCAGAGGAAGTCCTGCCTGGAGCTGTCTTCCAGCAATGTTTTTATTTTTTTGGTCCTTCACATGTTGAACTCTGAAAGTTTCCATGCAAGCAGCACCAACAAAGCCTGGCTGCCTTCTGGAAAGAAAATGAACCTGTCCCTGTTTCCATGCCTAGTTAATGAATGCCCCTACATACCAGTCAGCTAAACAGTTCCTGGTGTGCCCACATACTGTTAGGTAAATTCTTTGAAGGATATTCTCACGAATGGGTGGACAGAGACAACCGTAAGATAGCTAACTTCCTGCCTCTAGACCCCAGGAATTTTCTGTATGTATCTTAAATCCCTTCAAAAAGGAACATAGCCTAACATGGGGTCCCAGACTTGTGATGGAGAAGAACTCATTCCATGGTTTGGTTATGTGACAGATGGCTTTCTGTTCCAGATTTGTCAACACCCTTAATGAGATGCTAACCATCACGATGAGCGGGAAAGTGTACGCAAACATCTCCAGTAACAATATCAGCAGTTACCAGTTTTTTCCTTCTGGCGTGTAAGTACCTTTTCTGGGCAACTTGTTCCCAAATTCAAGGTTGCTTAGTACTTTTCTTTAAAGAAAAGATAAAAGAAAGAAAGAAAGAAAGAAAGAAAGAAAGAAAGAAAGAAAGGAAGGAAGGAAGGAAGGAAGGAAGGAAGGAAGGAAGGAAAAGAAAGGATACTCTAATACCAGGTACTGTAACCTCTGTTTTTTTTTTTTTCGTTTAATAGAAAAGAATACACAATAGACTCCACGGAGATTGCATCAACCTGTCCACGTGACTTTAAATCTTCCAGCCTTGACTTTGGCAGCGCCTACACCTATGTGATCAGACGGGCGGTTAGTAGCTCATTCGACCGCAGCAGATAGCCTGGTCCTCCTCTTCACAGACACTCAGGATGTGCTCACGATTAACGAGAGGAATTGGGATCTGTAAATGGGCTTAGAACTAGTTCAACTCACCACTAATTCTTTTTTTTTTATGTGCAAGCGCATGCGTGCATGCACACACACACACACACGTGTGTGTGTGTGTGTGTGTGTGTGTGTGTGTGCGCGCGTGTGTAGGTACAACCTTTAGGAATCCATTCTCTCTTTCCACTGTGTGGGTTGCAGGTTTAATGGCAAGCCCCTTTCCCCACTGGCCCACCACTGATTCTCTAACTTATTGTTGACTTAAGTTGACCCAGCAGACTTAGTTACACAGTAGCTAAACGCTCCTACCAACCAGTATTTGATGCTTCCTTATGGACTATTGACTTTAGGGGGCACCGTTTTAACTGACCGGCTTCCAACATTGCATTTAAAATGGGCACTAGCTCCGTAAGGTGTGAGATTTAACCTTAGAAGGTCAACTCAGTTTGTCTGTACAAACAGATGTTAGTCTAAAGGGCGTCTCTGCCTCCTTCTCAACCACCTGCTTGTTGCTTTGGTGGTCTAGAGTGACGGATGCCTGGAAGTGAAGGAATTTGAAGACATCCCACCCAACACGGTGAACATGGCGCTGCAGATCCCGCAGTACTTCCTCCTCACCTGCGGCGAAGTGGTCTTCTCCGTCACTGGACTGGAATTCTCCTATTCCCAGGTCTCTTGTTTCTTCCTCTCCTCTGCTGCCTGCTGCCCTCAGGAAAACGCTGAGGGAACTTGATTTGAATCTGGGATGTCCACATGCTTAGAGCCTCTTTTGCCTCTAGTCGTGTAAGACTGGGTCTTAGTATGTAGCTCAGTTGATGAGAGTCTTTTCTAGCATGCATGCAGCCATGGGTTCAAACCGCAGCACTGTCTGAAACCAGGTACGGCAATGCCCTCCTGTAATCCCTGCCCTGGAGAGGTACAGGCAGGGAGGTCCAAACTTCAAGATCTTCCTTGGCTATATAGGAAGTCTGAAATCAGCAGAGATATATAACACCCTACCTCAGAAAAATACTACTTTTTTTTTTTTTTTTTGCTTTTTGCTTTTTGCTTTTAAGTATATTTGGCTAAAGTCTTATTTAGGGTTTCTATTGTGAAGAGACACTATGACCATGGCAACTCTTATAACAGAAAACATTTCTCTGAGGTGGTGGCTTACAGTTTCAAGGATTCAGTCCATTATCACCATAGTGGGGGGCATGGTGGTTGGTAGTATGACAGCATGCAGGCAGATAGCATGCTGGAGAAGGAGCTGAGAATTCTGTCCACAACTTGATCTAAAGGCAACAGGAAGTGAACTGAACTGAGCATAGCTTGAGCATAGGAGACCTCATAGTCCCCCCCCACAGTGGCACACTCCTCCAACAAAGCCACACCCACTCCAGCAAAGCCATGCCTCCTAATTTTGCTGCTCCCTATGAGGGGCCAATTACATTCAAACTACCACAACTAAGTAAACAAATTTTATTGGTACCCTAATTAGAGGTTAATATCTAAATATTTGTCGAAACCGCAGTCAAAGCCATTCCATCCTGGCATCTTTTCCTTCAGTATCCGTGATGGTCAGCATGGGCAGGTCGCCCCTTTCTGGGATGACCACACAGTCTGACAAACGCCATGGCTGTACGTGGCTGTGACATAGTTGTCGAGAGCACGAGGAAGGACGTGGCAGAAGGCCAAGTTTGCAGCCCAGAAAGTTGTCCTACTTTGGGGGAGAACTGCCACAAATGGCTTTGCCTAGCAGTCTGTGAGCAGAGGCCATCGCCTGTAGATCTGCCCGTTACTAAGACACTTGTGTGTGGAGAGAGGCCTCTCCTCAGGAGGGTTTTTGTGCCTCATCGCATAAGCGATGCCCTCCTTATATTAACATAACCCTGACCTTGTTTTTATTCACTTATCCACCTATTTGTATTTAGAACAGGGCCGCACTGTGTAGCCGAGGGTGTCCTCAAACACATGGTTTTCCTGCCTCAGCCTCCCAAGTGCTGGGTTATAGGTGTGAGGTACCACACCTGACTAAACCTGACTTCTAACCTGCACATCCAGGATGCTGGGTGAAGGGAGGGGTGGGTGGGACTCTTCTGGCCTGAAGCAGGACTCTGGTTGTAATCCATTCTGCTTTGCTCCCCCAGGCTCCTTCTAACATGAAGTCGGTGCTTCAGGCAGGCTGGCTTTTAACTGTGGCTGTTGGCAATATCATTGTGCTCATCGTGGCAGGGGCTGGTCACTTCGAGAAACAGGTATGAGGGGAAAGAAGGTTGGGTGTGCCTATTTTTTTCCCTGTCTTTTTTGAGACCAGGTCTTATGTAGCCCAGCTTGGCTTCAAACTTGCTGTGTAACTGAGGCTGACTTTGAACTTCCTGGCTATTAGTGGTTATCACCATGACCCTCCCTAGTTATCTATAAATAAGTATCCATTCGAGTCAATGGCTGAATAACTTGGCCAGGCCCATCTGCTGGAGCTGTTATGGGTGGTGCTGGGCAGAATCTCTGCTGACTCTTGTTGCTTGGAAACCGACACCAGATTAACCTGCCTGACGGGGTCTACTATAAAAGGAAACACTCATTATCAATTCTGTGAATTCAACTCAAGAGCCCTAAACTAGACATGTGGACTAGGGGTGTAACTCCACAGTAGAGCACTTGCCTAGCATGCACAAGGCTTCGGGTTCTAGTCCCAGCATTGGTAAAAATAGTAAAGAAAATCAGAGTCCTTGTGCAGAAACTTCACAACAACTTAAAGGCATTCTTTCAATAGTTACACCTTCCCACTTAGAGTACAATGAAACACAGGCTTGTCTGATGCTCATAGTGTTTGCTCAGCTTTGTTTCACACAAGGTCTACATTGTTTCCTTGGTGGGAATGGCCAGAGGGCTTCAGGCTTGGTCCCTCTGGTGCCTGCCATAAACCTGAAGCATTTCAGAAAATTGCTGGACAATGGTGGCGTACACCTTTAATCCTAACCCTCAGAAGGCAGAGGCAGGCGGATATCTGCAAGTCTCAGGGGTCTGCAGAGCAAGTTCCAGGGCAACCAGAGTTGCACAGAGAAACCCTGTCTCAAAAAATCAGAAAATTTCTCTCATCTTCCCAAAGGTCCGGTGTTTCCACACCCCATGTTAGTAGGAAAATGTCCCCTGTTCCTTGAACATTTGAGAAAACCCAGTGTGTCTCTGCTGGGTACCCCGCTTTTTCTAGCTGTTTGATTTAAGGTGTCTTCCACCCAGAAGTAGCAAGAAATTGGGCATACAGTACCATGTTAATGTGACCTGTGGTTTGTTTGTTTGTTTCCTTGCTCCAACTCTGGTCCTCCCAAGTGGGCTGAGTACGTTCTGTTCGCCTCATTGCTCCTGGTTGTCTGTGTGATATTCGCCATCATGGCTCGATTCTACACCTACGTCAACCCAGCGGAGATAGAAGCTCAGTTCGATGAGGAAGAAAAGAAAAAGAGCATAGGAAAGGACAACCCCCTCTCCACGCTGGAACCTGTCTCACAGACAAATATGTGAAGGTCAGGAGGTCACGGAGGCCACGGAGTCCACGGAGTCCACGGTGCACCCTGACCTCTGCCCCAAGGGGCAGAACACTCTATTGCAGAGCCTTTGATACGGAAGACTTCAGAATCGTGAACCAAAATATTAACTAATAACAAAGCTGTTTTCTAAGCTGCCAGCGGGAGCCTTTTAATCTTTTTTTAATTTTTTTAATTTTTGTTATTTTTGGTTTTTCAAGACAGAGTTTCTCTTTGTATAGCACTGGCTGTCCTGGAACTTATTTTGTAGACCAGGCTGGTCTTGAACTCAGAGATCCACCTGCCTCGGCTTGCACCACCACCACCCGGCTTTATTTAAAGCACATACTTTATTTTTTTTTTCTAACACTGGGCCATGTCTTGCATTTCTGCTGAAGAAGTGAACTGAGTTCAGACTAACTTGATTTTGAAAAGGTGACCATCCTGCTTATTTCTAGCACTTTAATGAAAACAATGTTGAGTTTACAGAGGGCTTTTTAAAAAAAAAAAATGGTAGATAGTGTCAGCAGTTTGAGCTGAATACTGTGCCTTAGGTCTTGTTTGTTTGTTTTTCTAGTTTTCTTTGCCCTTCCCTTTTAAATTATGTGTCACTCAAAAGACCACCCAGTGAAGGCTAGTAGTGAGCTGTGAAGTATCACTGGTGTGAAATAAATTCTTGTTCTTAAGGATATGAGTTTGCGTGTCTTATCTGGTCATACTATTTAATACGTGCTCGTTAAGATGTCTTTAGAAGTTAGTAAGCACATTAACAAATGCAATACCCACATGGGGGAAACCCCAGCGACATGCAACACTAAAGCTTATTTCTTTCTGTGTTGTAGGAGGGTGGTTGTTTGTTCCCAACTGCTCAGCCCCGAAATAATCATACAGAAACTATATTATTTAAATCATTGCTTGGCCAATAGCTTAAGCATATTTCTGGCTAACTCTTATATCCTGAACTAACCCATCTCCATTAGTCTGTGTATCATCACGTGGCTGTGGCTTACTGGCAGGGCAAGTTTCCAGCTGGCAGATTGCATCTTTCTGCTCTGGGGGCTGCATGGCGTCTCACTGACTGCACCTTCTTTCTCCCAGCATTCAGTTTAGTTTTCCCATCTAACTCTACTCTGCTAAGCCACTAGCTGAAACAGATTCTTTATTCATTAACCTATAAAAGTGACACATATACAGAAGAACTTCCCATACCTTTCCTGGTACTGTTTTTTCCCAGAGAGGGAAAAAAAATCTATATTTTACTACTAACATCTTTCTATGTACATATATGTATATATCTCATTCTGTTTTTCTTGAATTGATGAATATTCTCTACTTGAAGTAGTGGTTCCTTCTAAGATATTACACATACCTACTGCCTAATTCATCCTACAGATATTTGGTGTATTTTTTGTTTTGTTTTGTTTTGTTCCCATGACAGAGTTTCTCTGTGCAGCCATGGGTGTCCCAGAACTTGCTCTGTAGACCATACCATGCTGACCTTGAACTCACAAAGATCCACTTGCCTCTGCCTCCTTAGTGCTGGGACTAAAGGTGAGCACCACCACCACCTGGCTTATTTGTTTGTTTTAAACTTCCACTCTTTTCTTTATGGGCATGTCTTTTTATTGGTGTGTGTGTCTGCTGTTTGTGTCTGCCATGTGTGTCTGTTATGTGTCTACCTGCCATGTGTCTGCATGCCTGTATGACTGTATGTGTGTGTGTCTGTTGTGTATGTCTGTGTGTCTATCTGCCTGCCATGTGTATGTATGTCTTTGTATCTGCCGTGTGTGTGTGTGCGCGCGCGCGCGCATGCGTGCATGTACGCACACTGTGTGTGTGTGCCTGCCATGTGTCTGTATGTCTGTATGACATGTGTGTGTGTCTGTTGTGTGTGTCTGTGTGTCTGTCTTATCTGCCTGCCATGTGTATGTATATCTTTGTATCTGCCGTGTGTGTGTGCGCGTGTGCCTGCCATGTGTCTGTATGTCTGTATGACATGTGTGTGTGTCTGCTGTATCTGTGTGTCTGTCTGCCTACCTGCCTGCCATGTGTATGTCTTTGTGTCTGCCGTGTGTGTGTATGTGTGTATGTTTTTTGTGTCTGCCATGTGAGTATGAGTAACCTTAGCCAGGCAAGGGTCTCATTGGAGCTGGAGTGACAGGCAGTTATAACCACAACACAGAAGCTAGGAACTGGGCAGGGATCCTCTGGATGAGCAGACAGTGCTCTCACCAGCTGAGCCACCTCTTTAGCTCAGTTGTTTGTTTTGAGAGAGGGCCTCATGTATCCATGCTGGCCTCAAGCTTGCTGTGTAGCTGAAGATCTTGAATATCCAATCATCTTGTTTCCACTGCCCAAACCCTGGAATTGCAGGCATGTGCCACAATGCCCAAATTTAGTTGCTTCTGTGGACAGAACCCAGGGCTTTCTGTGTGGCAGATAAGTGTTCCATCAACTGATTTTCTTCCCTAGTCCACTATATGGAATGGAGCTATAGTTTAATAATCCCTGATGCCAAGCCCAGGATGGTCCTAGCTTATATCCTGTGCAAACAGGCCACAGTTCTTAGCCTTCATACAGGGCACACAGGAAAGTGACTGTTAAACTTTGCCAAGATTAGGTAGAACAGTCCTTCAAATTTCCTGCTTCATAGAAGAGTCTGTCAGATGTCCTAGGCCTGAAGGCTGAAGATGGATGCCCTAACATTGCAGAGGAACTTTGAGTGACTGTCCGGGCAGTCAGATGTCTCTGTTGTTGGGTATATCCTTCTAGGGTCTTTGATGGAATTAAGGACTAAATAGAGTTATAGTTTTCCTTAGTTATGATAGAAAGTAAACTAGGTATAAAACTTTGGACTCACTAAGATAAGATAGATAATGGAGTATTTTCTCTAAATTTGATAAATACAAATGGACTGGATCTTATAAATGTAATTCTTACCTGATATTTGTTTTTATTGTATATTTGTGTTAAAGTTAAAACCTTTTCTTTTTGTTTAGATAATAAGGAGGAAATGTAGAATGTTAGTTGGAGATGTGTTACATTTGTTTATGCTGGGGAACATTTGTTTAGTGATGCAAAGATGTGCTGCATCCTTTTATATTGTGTTTGTTTAACTCTGTGAAGCTGTGTTACTTTGCCTGCCTAAAACACCTGATTGGTATAACAAAGAGCTGAAGAGCCAATAGCTAGGCAAGAGAAAGTATAGGTGGGGCTGGCAGACAGAGAGAATAAATAGGAGGAGAACTCTGGGAAGAGAGGATTGAGAAACAAGAAAAGGAGGAAGAGAGGAAGACACCAGGAACCAGCCACCCAGCTACACAGCAAGCCACAGAGTAAGAACTAAAGAATATAGAATAAAGATAAAAGCCCAGAGGCAAAAGGTAGACAGGATAAGTTTCAGTTACAGAAAGCTGGCTAGAAATAAGCCAAGGTAAGGCCGAGCCTTCATAAGAAAGAGTAAGACTATTAATTTATTTGGAACTGAGTATCAGGGCTCCCAAAGAGTAAAGAGAAAATAAAAACCAACTCCACACTCCAGCCCCTCTTCCTTCATTTCCACACCACTCCTTGCAAGAGTTTTGCTGATCTTGCTCCCTGACACATTAAGTTCCATTGCCTCTCTGAGCTCCCAAAATGCCGGATGATTCCCTGATGTTGGTTTCCCAGCTTTCTTATTCGGTTCTGGGAGCATCGTGTTCACCAGTCTCCACCATGTACTGATCTTCCGCTAAGTGGGGACTTTTGACTTCTCAGGCCTAGCTCGTTGCCTCTCTTGGTTCGTTCTTTGGACTTCAAATGCACCTGACAACAACTCTAGTGTGAAAGCCTAGACTCGAGGGAACACTAATTCTGCCGCTCTGCCTTCACCTGGCTCTTCTCTCTTCCTGCTGCCTTTCTCTAAGTTCCATGCTGGTTGGCAATACCCCAGTCAGTGTGCTGTCCAGCTGTTTAAGTGCTGTTCTGCATGGGGAGAGAAACGCTAGGACAAACCTTACACTTTGTCCCTAAAGTCCAGGACACTCAGTAGTTTTCACAGTGTGGGGCGCTATGATCTCTTTCCAGTGCCTTGGTCCCGTGCTGGCTCCACAGGATCCATCTGTGTGTTTTGTTTGTTTTCGTTTTGCAGATGAAATTTATCTCTAGGGACTAAGTATCTTCAAGTCGGTTTTAAATTTTAAAAATACTTGAGAAATGTTTGACTATTGTTGGCGATTTTAACCATTATGGACTCTGCAATATATATATATATATATATATATATATATATATATATATATATATATTCTCACATGTTGTGACAACTAACTAAGGCTGAACATGCACTGAACAGTGGGCATGTGCAGTCTATGGGCTCAGCAGTCTTCTGAATTCCCTGCAAGTGTGGGATCCAGCAACTGTCCTGCACTGTGGCGAGTCGCCCACTCAAGGCCGGCCCCACAGGCTCTCCATCTGCCAGCCCCACATCTGCTACCAGGTTTAACCCACAGTAAAGCAGGTGTCAATCTTAATCCTATTAACAATAAGGAAGGTTTCACGACCTTCATTTTGGAGATAAGAAACTTGAAGAAGAGGGCTGGAGAGAAGCTAGTCATTTAAATCATTTACTGCTTCTTGCAAAGGACCCAGGCTTGATCCCAGCACGGTTCAGGCATCCCTAACTCCAGTTCCAGGTGGGTCTGATGCCCTCTTCTGACCTCTGAACATAGGCACATGCAGGTAAACTGCTCATTCATGTAAAATAAATCTAAAAACGCACACACACACAAACAAAGCACATTGTTTTAAACTGGGGAAGAGCAAACTTAAATGACTTGCCTCAGTCACATGCCTAGTGACTGAGCCAAGATTTGAACTCAAGGATAACTGAGTCTTTTCCCAGGAGGCTCCAGCACCTGCCACTTACCCCAACCTGCCCAACCTCGAGGTTATAGCAGCTCTGTCTCATAACGTGGTGAACTCGATGGTTAAGGTTGTGGAAAGGGAACCAGGGCAAGGCAGTGTGGATGACGGGGCTTTGCAGACCGTGCTCACCACCAGCCCCCTGGGATGGACACCCGTCTGTGGGGATGCAAGACTGGAATGCTGACTCGAAGGGCAGATCAAGGAGACCTTGACCGTTTCGGGGGAGGCTGGGGCTCTCCTCAGGCCACATTGCAGACACTAGCTTCCTCCCCACAAGGCTGACTGGAGACACTCCCGTCGCCAAGAGAGGTCATGAAGGTAAACTCTGGCCTCACCATGAAGAAGGCAGTGGCGGAGCGGTGGGCT